TTTGACTGCGGATTATTGTTTATTGATGTATCCCAACATTACATGAATTTTTTCATTCCTTAATATTTACATTTAATATGTTTAAATAATTTTTTTTGTTTTTATATCAGAGTGACGAAAAGCGCGCGGAAGCCAGACTACCCGCTTTTGGCTCTATTTTCAGGGCTCTGTAAAAATTATAAATAATCGAGATACAGTTTCGGGAGTCGGACTTTTTTCATGCAAATTCATTGATCTTTTCAAATCTTTTTTCAAATTTCCAAAATTTTGAAAATTTTCCGAGATATTAAGTAAAACTAAAGCCCCATTTTTTTTTTCACTCAATTTTTTATAACTTTTGTGTAATCTTCATCGGCGCGTTTTCGGACCTTACCTCAAACTTTTTAGGCAAAAATACGAATCGAATGACATCTCGGTCGTAATTTTTGGACAGGGCTGAAAAATATTACCAAAAAGAGCTAAATCGAGTACATGTGAACCAGACTATAGTGCACTGCTGTCGTGGATATTGCTCGCTGACAACCAAATCCTTCCTAAGCCGTTTGGCTATCCGATTTTTTTTTATATATTTCTGGAGTTGGTTTTCGCCAATCTCCCAACACTTTAATTAGTGATGTAGATTTTTGGGTAGTCTATACTATACAGATGAGGGATGTTGCTGGGTTTTGCTACCCAGGAAGATGAAAGACAATTCCACAACATTTTGGACACAATTTAATATATTTATGTATCGTTATTGAGGGTTGTCTGAAAAACTGAGTTCCTCTGTAAAGTAATGTGAATCGTGTTATGTACGTAACAGTTTTTATTTCTAGCAGATAAATCTGCAAACAGATGGAGACCGTGCCAGTGCAAAACGCATATTAGTATAGCGAAAATACTCGAGAAATATGCCGTTTCTACTATTTCTAGGAACAAGTTCACTTTGACGATTAAGAATGAGATACGGTGATGAATCTTTGTGCTGGTAGTCTGTTCAGATCGTATCTCTTTCTGAAAAGTAACAAATGAAATGCTGAATTCCTGAAAAGGAATTCATTTCGATACTTTCACGAAGACGAGTGGATATTAACCTTTTGGCCTTCTCGTGGAGCGAGCAGCGGTTCGTGTCGTCCTTTATTTATCGATAGTTTTGTAGGAGAAATTCGCCGAGTTGAATCGGTGTTGAAATTTTCTCTTGTGTCACCAGCGCCCAAAATTTATTGGTATTTAATGTCATCAGCTGAATTTTGAGACTGTTTGAAACTCTTATGTACTCATAAAATTTTGCGTTTGACGTGTGGATCGACAATGAGAACCACAATCATTAATTGAGGCAAACGCATTACATTTTTCTTGATGTAATAATAAATGTATGGAATTCATTGACATCTTTTCAATCAAAGCTTACAGCAATGGACAGAGTGTAGAAAGTTTATTGGCTGTTTTTTCTTTGTATAGAATGTTCTTCAATCGATTTCAGTCTTCAAAAAGTAACAAAATATTATTTAAAACAAAATCATATTCGTGGGGACTATCTGCGTTGTTTGAATAGTGACTAATTTTTCTGAAAACTGAAATATATTTGGATTTTGATAAAACATAGCGACACGTTAGAAAAACATCAAATTCACTTTGATGAAATGAATAAAAACACTTTTGTCTAATTACCACTAGTTAATTTTATTTATACGACCAATTTCGGGTTGAACCCCATTATCAAGTAGGGTACTGTCAGTATACAACAAAGATATGTCTTCAAGGTATCAACATATAAACCATAAACCATATATATATTGTTGTGAATGAGTAGTATTTGATTTGATGTATGTATTAATACCACTTTATAATGAATATGTGACTTCTCTTTGTGATCTTTTTAATTGACATCTGTTTGACAACTGGATAATAATTTACACTAATGATATCACGGGTGTCCCAAATATATAAATATATGTAATACACAACATATTGATTAATAAAAAAAATTATAGTTTACTCTGAGCACAACTTTGAATTTTCGGTTGAAACAGGCTTAGAAAATTACATGTACCTATATCAAAACTATGAAAGTGGAAAAAATTATATTGAAACCAGGCGTAATTCCGCAAATATTTGATTGCCAGATTGATAGACCGACGGCATATACACCTAAAGCTCCATCGTTTGTTCAAAAAAAGGAAAAACAAATTTTGTTGAATACTTGTAACAAAGATATCGCTGAAAATCAAAGCATGTCTAATGAAGCAGTTACACAGGAAAATACCTTTGATGTTGGNGCAATAACTCAACAACGCCGTAACCGAATTTCAAAAACCAAACATGAAATGATATCAGAATTTAACGTAGCATCTGAATATGTAATGATATAAAGGGCGTTCTATTTTAAAAAATGGAATTTTGGTCTGTAGCACCTACACCAAACACCCTGTATATTTTGAAATTATATCAAAATATAGCTCTCATGAACTCCTAAAACTTTTGTATGAAACATTTTTGTGTATCTCCTTCAACAAACCAGATACTGCCTGTCACATAAAATGTGGGACACCCGGTATATATATTGGAAACGAGTGATTTCATAAACTGTAATATAAAACTTTCATCATCATTGACACCCAACAATATTTTCCTAATTAATCACGCTATTCCCGCCGGACACGCACCCCAACCCCAAAAGGTCTATTACAATAACCACAACATATTCGTCAACTTGCAGGAACATGCTTCATGCTGTGGAGCGACACGATCGACAACCTGTCGTCGTACAAAGTGGACGGCCCCTCGTTTCACACGATGCGCTACTCCTCAGACCACACGCTGCAAGTGGGATTCAGCTTTGACAACGCGCCGCATGCCCACGAAATGTGGACCCACATTGAACGGCTGGTGGCGTGTCCCGAAAATATATCGCTGTCCACGCCAGGTGAGTTATGGGAGGCGATTTTGATATTATTCTACCTAAAGTCATTTATCTATTCAAATTGATAAAAGTAGTCCGGTCAATTTAGACATTTGAAGCTACCTAAATTCCCACCAAGCTGAAAATCAGTAAGATTGTTTAAAATATGATTAAAAATGAAATTTGAAAGTTCCCCATCTTTCCTCTGTATGGAAAAAATTTTATTCGAGGTCAGAGGTCAAAAAAATGAAGTTTTTCGCGATTTTCAGCAAAACGGTAAGTTTTATCAAAAAAATACTTCAGACAAAAATTGTAGATCATGAAATTATCTATAGAATTATGTAGAAAAAAATGTATCAATACTTTTTTCCTAGGAGCCACCGTTTTTGAGATATAAAGATTCAAAAAATTATAAAAGTTGTAATCGTCATAATATGCACACGGTTTTCAGGCCACCTATGAGATAGTGTACTTAGCGGGTTTTTTTAACGTGGTTGTGATCCTGTTTGATTTGAAACTATTGCAAAATAATTAATATTAGCAGAGATTGAAGAGATAAAAGCAATTTAAGTTAAAAAGAAAGTAGTGGCGGAAGAAGAAGTGATTTTATTCAGGTTGGAGCCTGGCTCCCTTGCCCTTTGAACTGATGTTTGCCAGAAGGACAAAACAGGCTTGAACATCGTATTATAGATGGCAATTTTATTTCTTAGACTCATTTTTTATTTTCTGTTTATCAGAGGGTACAGACGTGCTATCCGACCCTCGATCTTTGATTTGACGCACGTTATGTGCGGTTTCCAAGTGAGCCTACGGTCTATTAGAAGACCGAGGTACTTTACCCGCGCTTGCCAGTTAATCTCCCTTCCAGAGATTCTCATAGTGTCTGAGGGCTAACGAACTATTAATTATATTCAGTAAGCACTCAACGCAGTTGTCCGGGAGCCTCTTCAACAACTTGTTAGTTATTGAGTCGACCCCCGGTGCTTTCTTAGCCTTTGCGGCCCTGATATATCCCTTCAGCTCTTCCACAGAAGCTGGACGGATGTCGTCATCGTCATCTTCCCTGAGGAGTCGGTGAACCCGGTCTTCCAACAGCATATCGCGATCGATGTCGTCATCATCATCAACGTCAACGTCATCAGCAAAGGCTAACGCTTTGTTGGCGGGGGAGTAGCATACTCCGCGCTCTCCGTGAATGAAGAAAGTAGGGAAATTTAATGGTCCGAGTCGTAACTTTCAAATTCTTCCTCTTGTTATTCTTCTTGGTCTTCTTGTTCATCTTCTTCTTGTTCTTCTTCTTGTACTCCTTCATCTTCATCCTTAGTATATGTAAACTGCGTTGAGGCGATGTATCGCATGTCGCCTCGTTGGAATCAAACGGATCCTCCACGTTTGGTGATTCAATATTAGAGCATGACCGGCCTTGACGATGTGTACATGCCAGATAACAAAACAGTCCGGCTTTTTTGCAACCACATTCAGCACTGCATCCCTTTTTGCAGTTGCAAAAAGGGGTGCAATTTGAACTGGTTCTAATGAATTGTTGACCAACTTCCAACCCCAGTCTGTAAGGTCTAGCTGATAACCAAGCCACACTTGAACTTGGGAACATACCCGAAAAAGATGTTGATGAGCAGCAACTGAGGTTGGAGGAAGACAAGGTAATTGTACTTGTTTCTTACTTTTGGTCACTACTGGCATTCGACTAACGGCATTTCATTTATTATAGCTGGTATAAGACTAGCCACGCACACAATTGAACAGGGGACAGATGTTGTCTCAAGGTTACAATGGCGTATAAATTAAGGGACTGTTCTTTGAGAACGACGTTGGACAGAACATCACTGTCAATGGCGAGCACTATAGGTCGATGATTACTAACGGCTATTGAGCAAGCTCTGGATCTATGAACAGCTTAACAATAAGAAGAATGTACTAGGTATATTCTATGATTTAACTCTTGCATTTGATATGGTTAACTACTACTTTCTCTTTCGTAAATTATACAGCATAGGAATTCGTGGTTTACCACACGATTGGATAGTATCATATTTGACAAATCGTCCGCAAGGGACAGTAATGAATGAAAGCAAATCTGACTGTAAGAGTGCTGAGTTAGGAGTGCCCCAGGGATATATAATGGGACCAATTCTTTTTATAATATTTTCAAATGACATCTACGATACGTGTACCACACCAAATAGAATGGTACTTTACGCTGATGACACAAATATACTCCTAGCCCATAAAAACTTGGAAAGTCTGGTAAACTTGAGTAATTATGCATGTGATGAATTCAGTAAATACTGTAGCGACAATAACCTTGTCTGCAGGATAAAGAAAACCAACTATATCAATTTCCTACCCAGAAACGGTAGCTCAAATCCAGATCTAATGAACAACATCAATATGTCTGTGGAAACTCTGGAATACTGTCAGGTAGCTGGATTTTTAGGAATACTCTTGGCTCAAAAGCTAATATGGGAGGCACATATCGACAGTTTATGTATAAAGGTTGGCAGTACAAACTACGCAATTTAGAATATGCAAGACACTGTCTGTACAGAAGTTATAAAACTCATGTATCATAGATTGGTACAGTCAGGGCTACAGTATGGATTGATCTTCTGGGGTAACTCTGCATAAACTGACCGCATTTTTAAGATTCAGAAAAGAGTAATTCGCTGTATGGACAAGTCTCGTCTACTGGACTCTTGTAAACCACTCTTTAAAAAATTTAGCATCTTGCCATTGCCGTGCCTCTACATATTACAGCTAGTGTTATTCATCCATGATATTAAACACCTATTTCTAAAATACATAATTATGCTACTCGGGGTGAAGATACTTTATACCACCCCTACTCTCACTTGAGTGTGAATCAGAGTTCCCCAAAGTACTTTGGTATTGAATGCTTCAATAAAATAACATCTTTCATAGAGATCAATAAAAGTACACTTGTAATGAGAAATGAACTATATGGTTTCTTGTTGGATAACTGCTTCTTCAGTATGGATGAATTTCTTGCTTTCAGTGCTTAGATAAATGACATGGTTTCTTTTACACATGTAGTCTTTCTCTAAATTTGTTCAAGATGAAACATTTGTGTTTAGTTTTTAATGTTTTACTTTTTTGACTAGTCAATAAGTTTTCTCATATACTTGATCTTGTAATTGTGTATGTGTGAAAATTTCAGTGATCAATAAAACTATTTCTATTTCTATTTATATTCTAAAATTCATCCGCATGAAATGTGGTCATTCACCGAACACAATAAGACTGTTTATAGGTTGATGTTGATCTGAAGGATCTCGTTCAATCAATTGCTTAATTGTCGATGTTTCGAAACTTTATTTAGAGTGCCTCGGAAAGCCGCCCTAAATAATCCTGAACAATAAATTTTTAAAACGTCGACAATTTAGCAATTGGTTCTCTTCAACATTTCGACGAATTCTTGCCAACTTAACAATCGAAATCATATTCAACGGTATATAACGTTTATATTAGATACGTCTAAACATAAAAACTGTAATGAAAATATGTATCTTTTTTCAGGTAAAAAGAAGAAGAAGGAAAAGAAACCCCCCAAACCAGCGCGATTCTCACTTTNAAACTTCAAGTAGCGGTGAATAACTTGCATTTTTTTCAGTAAAGTTCTTGTTTTGATATATTAATTGTTGAATGTTGTCAATTATAGGGGTAGTTTTCCCTTAATTTGGTTTACAGAGGCAGGGTTGCCTGTTATAGAAAATCAATAGTGTGGTTGAAAAAATGCCAGAGAAGCTAAAACACAGTCTGGCATATGTTTTTATAAAATATTTTCGTGAATTTTCAGGAAATGAGTGATTTGAAAGAGGAAAAAAGTGAGGATAAGAAGGATATCGAAATGGAGGAAAGAGAAAAGATGTTGAATGCTGAAAACAAAGCCCAGGAAATTGAATCCAGTGAAGATAAACAAGAGGAGAAAAAAACTCCGAAAGACATTAAAGAAGGAATGGAAGTCAAACCAAAAAAAATCCCGATTGGAGGCATTCAGATGCCTGGTTTCTTCACTCGAAGTAAATCAAAAGAAAGGTGTAAGGTACGTTAAAAAATAAGATATAATTAAGTGAAAAAATATTATATGATGATAGAATAATCAGCTCAGGAGGAATGGTGACTTATGAAATATAAGGGTAAAACGATAAGAACAAGTCAAGCAAAATAGTTATCTCGTTTTCCTGAAGATTTTTTAACAATATCTTTCATCAAAAGATAATATTGAACTCGTCATTGGAGCTGTTTGAGATGAATATAATTGATTCCATGACATTTTTTTAGAATATTATTTGTGTTTTGAGTTGTTTTCATGAACTACAAATACACAAAGTGTATTGAAAAAAAAAACCTTTCGAATATCTTCAACATACATAGTATTAGGAATTTACTATTTTTTTAATGTAGGATGATACTGATGCAACTACCGAGGGAGTTGAATTGATTGAAAAATGTGCCGATGCCAATCCTGAAAACAATGCACAGACAAAAATCAAGTTACCGAATCCATTCAGGAAGTCTAAAGCAGAAGATGATGGTAAGCATCAGAAAATAACTAATGGACCTATAAATATAATTCTGTCAATATAATGTCCTGTCTATAACATTTTTATCGAAGGTGATAAACCAGCTGAACCAAAAGAAAAGAAAAAATTACTGGACACAATTCGGTTACCTCTAGTATCAGTATTTCCAAGAAAAAAGAAGGACGACAGTCTAGAGAGTCAGACAGCTCAAGCTGGCTTGGCCTCCATGGAAACTTTGGACGATAAGAGCACAGATGGAAAAACCAACGATGACAACAACATGAAGACTGTTTCTTTGGAGGACAAAACTGACTTGGAGAAACAACAACAAAGTGAAAGCACTTCTTTCTTCGGGAAGATGAAATCGCACAAAGCTGTCATTGGTGAGTTTATAAATGATTCAGCTGTACATGTAATAGTGTTTTTACTATTTTGCAGGTGCCTTGCTCTTGTTTGTATTGGTGATCATTATTATTATAATATTCTCTATTCCGAGAAGTGGAAATAAAAATTCACCCCCTGTGAGGGATGGAAAATTTGTTGTTACTCTTACAGGCTGTGGAAAAGTTGAAGGGTAAGTATTAGTTACCATTTTTGGCACGCTGAAAGAATAATTTTCTTCGATGAAGAAATAAAGTTCTTGATTGAAAATAAACAAAATTACTAGATGACAAAATTTCTTCTCTAGAGATTTGAGGACACTTGATGCGGTTTTTATGTTAATGATCTGTTCTGCACTGTTGAGTTTCTTAGAAATATATGCCAAATCTGATAGTCTATGTAATCTGTTCAAAACATAAGGTGACTTTTCATTTTTCTCAAAAAATTCATATATAGTCATCAATTTCTACTTTGCCTCCTTCAAAGTACTCGCCTTCATATATAATTGCCAGCATTTTTTCCATTCCTAGAAACAGTTTTGATATGCACTTTTTATCATATATTTGAGGTGTATCAGTGATTCGGTTTTTATCTCCTCAATCATCAAAAAACGCCGTCCCTTGGGTATAGAAAAGTGGCAGGGGAACAAATCTGGTGAATACTGTGGCTGAGGTATGATAACGGTGTTGTTTTTGACCAAAAAATTACGAACAAGCAATAACGAGTTAGCAGGTGCTTTATCACAATGCAAAAGTCATGAATTGTTTTTCCATAATACCAGACATTTTCTTCATATTGCGTTTTGCAAGGATAACTTCAAGATAATATTCCTTATTGACCGTTTGATTATATTCAAATTGATAAAAGTANGTCTGGCGATTTTTCCAAAGTCCTTCACGAAACGCCGGTAATAGCTACAGCATCCAAGGAAGCTTTTTACATCGTGCTTGCTCTTCGGTGTTGGCCATTCTAGCACTTCCTTGATTTTCTACGGATCTGTTTCAACTCCTCTTAAAGACACAACGTGTCCCAAGAAATTCACCTTTTCTTGGAAGAGGCAGCACTTCTTGCGATTGATCTGCAGAAGGGCATTCTGTAGCCTCGTGAAAACAGTCCTCAACTTTGACAGATGTTGAGATGTTGAGATGTTGAGATGTCCGTATAGGACGAAACTGCAGTAACGTTAGTTACAAATAAAAATGGTAAAAAACATAGAAAGTTCCATTTCTTTTTTCTTCATTATGATTTCCTACCGCGTAGTAACGGCTACATCCATCAATTCAAATAATTAATGTTGGATTTAATCATCAGATGTTTCAACATGTATCTATATTTTATAAATTTCTTATTTCAGTCGTATAAACAGAAATGTGTCGGAATTTAGGACAGTGTCTGAATTTGGGACTCCTACCTTATTATCTTTTTCCTAAAAAGTTTTTTCCCACTATCATTTGTAGTGAAAGTTGTGGACCTAACTAGGTTCACTGTATAAAATAATAAATTTTCAATCATTGAATTGATACTTTCAGTTTGATTGAAGACAGCTCCGTTGCATTTCGAGGCATCCCTTATGCTAGGCCTCCAATAGAAGACCTCCGCTTCAAGTATGCCCAACCCCTGAACAATCTGGATTACTGCTGGAACGGGACCTTCCTAGCCCACAATGCCACAGACTTGTGCTTGCAGATACTCAGCAACGGCACTGTAATGGGCGCTGAAGATTGCCTGACTCTAGATGTGGTGACTCCCTACGTTCGTTACGACAACCCCTTGCCTGTCATAGTACTTATCGGAGCGGAGAGTCTGATGGGGGGCTCCCCGGGCAAAATGCGCCCGTCAGCGCGATACGCCAGGTCCAGAGATGTTGTCTTTGTCAGACCGAACTTCAGACTGGGCGCTCTGGGATTCCTGGCTCTCAAAGCTCTCTCAGAGTCGGACTACCCGAAAACTTCCGGAAACTACGGGCTCTCCGACATCTTGGCCGCCCTAAAATGGGTCCAGTTGAACATCGAGCACTTCGGAGGTGACAAGAAGGCTGTGACAATCTTTGGTCATCGCGCCGGGGCTACTCTGGTGACTGCTCTCTCGACCATTCCGGACGCGAAGAAATACTTCGCTAGAGCTTGGGCTTCTTCAGGTGGCGCCATCTACCCCAAGAAACCCGTCGCCGAATCGGAAATGGAGAACCAGAGCTTCATGGAGGCGGTGCAGTGCGAAGACGTTGAGTGTTTGAGGAGTTTGGATGCGGAGAAGTTGGTTTCTGCCGTGGAGGATACTTGGAGGAAGCCACAGCCGGATTTGCCGACGGTGGATGAGGTTCCGGAGAAGCGACATGAATGGCTGGTGAGTTTTAGGCTATAGTTTACTCGAATTGGATGTTAAGCAGTGAATGATCATCTATTCTTTGGTTTAATTCTTCGAAACTTTCACAAACTTAACAACAAAGGATTTAAGTGTGCCTCATTCCTATTGTGCAGGTCCTAGATGGCCGGATCCTCAAAGAACACCCTGATGAAGTGTGGAGCAGGGAAGAGGAACTCCCAGTGAAGCTGATCGTCGGTACAACCGCCCAGGCAGGCAGTACGGAGAAACTCCTTCTGAAACACACCGAGTGGACAGAGCCCCTCGTGAAGGAACACATCAACCAGTCTTTCCTGTCTAAGAACAACCTCTCGGATGACGCCCTGAAAATGTATCCGGCCACATACAGGGGGTTGAGCACCATGATATCCGACATCAGAATAGCCTGCCCCTTGTTTTCTATCTGTTCCCGGGTGCATAAAATACCATTCTACATCGTTACGCAAACCAGGTGGCAGCACGACATCGCAGACATCGACTCCGACGTAGATGCCATCTTAGGGAGGTACGAGCCGAAAACCCCCGAGCAGAGGAGGTACTTTTCGGCGATGCAGGGTCTCTTCTACGACTACGTGTGGAAGGGCAAGATCGAACAGGAGATGATTGGGCAGAAGGTGCTCGTCGTCGGTCAGGACGTCTTGCTGAATTCGACTTATTCACACTGCGCGTTTTGGATGGTGAAAAACATTGTTCCGACTTATGCAGCTTTGGATTAATTTCTATGTAAGTTCGATTGAGGATGGTGTGAATTATCGTGAGACTTCTACGAGGCATGTTTAGTATTTTTTAATTGGAGTTCTATAAAGGGTGAAATTTATACTATAAAAAATTAATAAACATTTCCAGTTTAAAAAAATTTATTCAACAATAATCATGGTACTGAGGTACTGAAGTTTGACAAATCACAAACCTAAAAATTCTGACTTGAAATTAGAAATTGAAATTTAAAAAATGGGTTTGGATTTTTTCATGGAACAGGTGTTATTCCTTCTCAAAAGTTGAGATTGTGCCAAATAAGAATTAATGAGGTCTTATCTTGTAACATGTGATGCCTAGCTTGGTGCTCCATTTCAAAATTTTGTTCTTCAGCTGCCAGTACACGGAAAGGTCTAATTTTTTTTGTTTACAGATACAGGATAATGGAAGGTTGTTCATTATGTAAATCCTTGTCTATGACATGTTGTTTTCAAACTACTGTGAACAGAAATTTTACTTCAAGAATATTCATAACACTATTTAATAATAATCAATGATTTGTGGTACAAAAAGTGTAACTTTCAGGCATTTGATTTAAATTTTTTCAAATTCTATAACAAGTACAATTTTTTGACACTAAAATGACCGAATTAATAAAAAAATTTGAAGAAACGACAAAACTTGTTCTTTTTCATTTTCATTTTAAAAAGTGTTTTAAGAGTCTTCTGCTTCAGGTAACGAGTCATATTCCCATTTGGACACTTTATTAATAAATTAGGAAGTTCCAGCTCTTGCAGGATTTGATTACATTCTTTCCTGGCTCCACCTCATCTTTTCATTAATTTTAGTCAAAGTATTTTGTCAGCATATCAATTCAAAAGATAAACATGTCTAAAGTTGTTGCACGAAAATCTGCGCTAGACTCTGAGTGGCATAAGAGATGTTGCTTCGGTTTAAAAATGTTACGAAGCTAAAAGCGAACTTGGCGCTTAACCAAATGAGCGCTTTCAAGGAAATTTGAAATTAATGCGTCTCAATTCAATGACTTTGTATTCATTCAATGTGACTGACTGTTGTGATCATATTTATGAGATTATTATCATACTCGGGAGGGATACTCTCTGATTACGGTAGGTTTCAGGTATTTCTAACAAATCCAAAAGACCGGAAAGCTAGCGCTCCAGTCTCCCGGAAGAGGCAAAAGAATTTCTGAAATTTATTTTTCATATGAACGTCGCCCATTGATATTTTTCAAAAACTCATACCGAATACCTGCTCTTAGTATACTGCAATTTTTGGAGATCTTGTCCTCTCTTTTTTTAGTCTAGTTCACATGTACTTTTTTTTGTAACATTTTTCAGCCCTGTTCTTCCTTGAGTTTCATTTCATTTCCAGTTTTCTCTCTGAACAATATATAAGAGTTTACAATGGATGTGTCCAAGAAATGCCAAAATAATCGGTGCCACCACTTCCGACTTTTCCTATCTATAGCATAGTAGGATTTTAGCATATCAGCTTTGTTAACGCATCCCATACAACGCCTATAGTCTTTTATAGTAATGGGGCAAGCTATTTCCGTGATTGTGCCATCTTTTTCTCTTTTTCCAACAGATGCATTGTTTGTAGGAGAATGTATAGTAGAGAGAAGCGTAACTACTCTCTTGTCCTTCCACTTTATGCACGAAATCATATCTCTCCTACTGAACCAGTCCGAATGGCCACGAGATAAACTTTTGTCACTTTTTAAGTGAATGGGAAAATTTGTCCTATTCATTCTAACAGTACCACAACAGAATATATTTCTCTTGTACATTGTCTGCACGAGGTTCACGGTTGTGAAAAAATTATCGAAGTAAATATGATAGCCTTTATTTTCTAATCCTTCCGTTATTGTGTGAACAACGTTTTCTCCCATTTTTTTTCGGTGTTATTTGCATCCTTTCCTGTATATATTTGAAAATTACAAATATATCCCGACAAATCAGCTCGAACCTAAAGCTTGAAACCTCGTTTGATTGGTTTTTTGGGCATGTATTGCTTGAGGGTTACAAGCCCTTTATATTTTACCATACTTTCATCAACCGATTGTTCCATCGTTGGTTTATAACAGTTTTGGAACTTTGTCTTCAAGTCATCAAGAAGGGGTCGAATTTTGTAAAGAATATCAAAATTGTGTTCTCCTCTTTTCGGAATCATGTAATTAATTGTCATTCAAATGGAAGTTTGTCAATAAAAATCCAAATCGATTGACATTCATGAGTGATGAGATATATGGGTCGCGGAGTTCATTTTTAAATAAACAATAATCCCTGTGACTAGGGGAGTGTTTTATTCCCATCAAAATGTTGATAGCGAGAAATATCTTTATCTCGGTAAGATTAGTATACTCAAATCTCTTACCCGACTGGATACAGTAAAGGTCAGTTTGATACACCAGGTCATTGAATAGATTATCGTCAAAAAAACATTGAAAAAATTCTATTGGATTATTTTTATCAGCAACCAATATTGTAGGTCCCACGTCTTCAGCGAATGGGAGTAATTTCGGAGTAAAATCCCTTTTATTCCATAGGATCGTTGCTAGAGGTAAATTATCTTCAGATGAGTCACTGCTATAGTCTCGAATATCTTCANTTTAAAGGTATTGGTGTGATATTTTTATTCTTGGCTTCAAAAGTGAAGTGGAACTATCTTATTGATTTCATGTACTTATTATTTGCAATTATTAGAAGTATTTTTTTAGTTACGACTGATTTGCCTTTTTTTTTATTCGTTTCATGACTGAAAACGCTCCAGTTTACAAAAAATACTCTTGCCAAATTTGTATTACCAAATATTTTATTTTCCTAAAGGCAAATTCTCTAAATGCTCATATTTGTATAGGTACTCTAGTTGTATAGGTTCGTATATACAGGATGATCCAAATTGACCACGCAACATTGGCTATTTTTTTTGTCAGTGATAAAAAATTATTGAAATTTTCCAAACCAGCGATTTTTTATGCTCACTAAGATAAAAGGTGAAACTGGAACTTTTGACTTACGTTAAATTTGATTTCCCAATCTCCAGAACTGCAAAATCTTCTTGACACACACCAAACTTCTTGAGGATGAAGTTCTGAAGAGCCAACTTCTTTGGTGAAACGCGTGTCGAGAAGTGTATTGCAGTTTGTTGAGTTGTAACGATTTCTTAGCTTTGCTAATAAAGTTACCAATGATGCGCGCCCAATTTGGATCGGTTTGTATATATTTTAGAATTTCGTTTGTTAATCAAAAACTTTCGAAATGTTTTTATGATATACAAGGCATGTATATAACTTACGTTAAAGTATTCTATCGACTGTATCCTTATTTATTACTAATATTTAGTGTTTTTATCGAGACTGAAGGTGTCTTTGGTAGGAAATTTGCTACTTTATAGGCCTACGTCACAGGCTGGGACGACGACTTGAGATAGAGCACCAAAGTAATCGAGATTTGTGATAAAATGAAACGAAGAGAAAGACAAGTGGTTCGTCCGGCCTGTGATTTGAATCTGACTGCGTTTCGACAGCTGAATGATCTCTCTTTTTTAAAATCACTTTATATGGTACATCACTGTTGTGTAATGTTCATTAATGGCTTTATTTTGCTGAATTTTTGAAACTGGTTTCGAGGAATATTTTTTGACTCTGAAATTTTTTGATGAAAAGGAATAATTAAATCAGCATTTTACGAAATTATTAACTTACTAAATCTGCATTTCACCATAAAATCGACAAATGAATGACATAGTAACTTTTCAAATTGTCAAAACTTACCAGATGTGTAACCTAATCGGTTAGCAATTTATCAAATTAATTTCTTTTTGAACTAGTAACCCAATAAGTAATTATCAAATTGCATCTTGCGAAGTTAGCAATTTTCCATATTGGCTTTTAGCCATTCAGTAACCAAAAGAGCAACTTATTAAATCAGAAACATAGTACCTTCTCAGATTAGAAATTCATGCAATCGGTTACTTGTCAAATTAGTAACTTACTGGATCAGTAACTTGCCATATTGGCATCTTACTCAATCGATAACTTACCAGATGTGTAACCTAAATCGGCAGACAAGCAATACACCAAATTGAAATCTTATTGAAACGGTAACTTAACAACTCATCAAATAGATAACTGAGAGAATTTCTAACTTACCCAATTGATAATTAACAAATCCATATGTTGCATAATTTGCAACTTGCCAAATCGGCTTTTACCCTATCAGTAACCAAATGGGCAACTTACTAAATCGGAAACAATGTAACTTTTAAGATACCGAAATTATCCACCTGTAACTTATCAAATTAGTAACTTACTGGATCAGTAACTTGCCATATTGGCATCTTACTCAGTTCATAACTTTCCAGATGTGTAACCTAAATCGGCAGACAAGCAACACACCAAATTGAAATCTTATTGAAACGGTAACTTAACTCATCAAATAGATAACTGAGAGAATTTCTAACTTACCCAATTGGTATTAACAAATCCACATATTGCATAATTTGAGACTTACCAAATCGGCTTTTATCCTATCAATAACCAAATGGGCAACTTACTAAATCAGAAACAAAGTGACTTTTCAGATAATGAAATTATACAATCTGTAACTTATCAAATTATTAACTTACTGGATCAGCAATTTGCCATATTGGCATCTTACTCAGCCGATAACTTACCACATGTGTAACCTAAGTCGACAGACAAGCAAAACACCAAATTGAAATCTTATTGAAACAGTAACTTAACAACTCATCAAATAGATAACTGAGAGAATTTCTAACTTACACAATTGTTAATTAACAAATCCACATATTGCATAATTTGCAACTTACCAAATCGGCTTTTACCCTATCAATAACCAAATGGGCAACTTACTAAATCAGAAACAAAGTAACTTTTCAGATGACGAAATTATCCAATCAGTAACTTATCAAATTAGTAACTTACTGGATCAGTAACTTGCCATATTGGCATCTTACTCAGTCGATAACTTACCAGATGTGTAACCTAAATCGTCTCGCCTTCAGATATAATTGCCAGCATTTTTTCCATTCCTAGAAACAGTTTTGATATGCACTTTTTATCATATATTTGAGGTGTATCAGTGATTCAGTTTTTATCTCCTCAATCGTCAAAAAACGCCGTCCCTTGGGTATAGAAAAGTCGCAGGGGAACAAATCTGGTGAATACGGTGGCTGAGGCATGATAACTGTGTTGTTTTTGACCAAAAAATTAAGAGCAAGCAATAACAAGTTAGTAGGTGCTTTATCACAATGCAAAAGTCATGAATTGTTTTTCCATAATACCAGACATTTTCTTCATATTGCTTTTTGCAAGGATAACTTCAAGATAATATTCCTTATTGACCGTTTGATTATGTGACAATAACTCATGATGCACTACGCCACGGTAATCAAAGAAACTCGTTTTTTTAAACTCAACTCAGCCTTTATTCAGAAAATATGGCTGAACATATGGCTTATATCTTAACGTGAAAATAGGATACTCGTTTACATAAACCGAACATAATTCAGATAGTTGAAGTTCCGAACTCCAACACCTGTGTCGGAATTTGGATACGATTTCTAAAAGGAACTCTGCTATACAAAACGATATATCCTTATGTTATTTCATGTGAATAGAAAGAATTAGAAACATTTCTACCAAATATCAGATGTACCCATTTCCGACACCCATTGTCTGATTTGGGAAACACACGAAATTACTTGTACCTAATTCTGACACTATTTAAATTTTTGAATTCGATAATTATACTAGCAGTAAATCCTATTTATATTGAAGTTGAATGCCTTGGGTTTAGAGGGAGATGTTTTAAATTGGATTGAAAGCTACCTTTACAATAGAGTTCAATACGTTAAATATGGCAACTCTATATCTGAACCGATAAATGTGCCATCAGGTGTTCCTCAGGGATCCCACATAGGCCCATTACTGTTCAATTTATTCATCAATGATGTCTCCACTGTTTTTACCTCCAGCTCATTTCTAATGTTTGCAGATGATTTAAAGGTGTTCAAATCAATACAAAATATATCAGATGCTCAGGCACTTCAATGTGATTTGGTACAGTTTTCTAGCTGGTGTGCATTTGAATCCAGATAAGTGTCAAACAATTACTTTCTCAAGGATCAATAATGTATATGATTACTCGTATAAAATCACTGGGAATGATTTAGCAGTAACGGATAAAATAAAAAATTTAGGTGTCGTTTTTGACTCAAAAATGTCATTTAAGTACCAAATAATGGATGCCTCATCTCGAGCCCGTAAGATGTTAGGCTTTACACTTCGTTCTGCTAGAGAATCTATAAAACTGATCGAATCTATATCGAATCTATAAATCTATATCGAATCTATAAAATTGATTTATTGTGCACAAGTGAGATCCATTCTTGAGTATAACTCCATTGTATGGTCACCCTATTATAATGTTGATGTTGAGGTGTTAGAGGGGTGTTAAATTAGCTTTTACCCAATCAATAACCAAATGAATAACTTATTAAATCGAAAACAGTAACTTTTCAGATTACAAAATTATCCAATCAGTAACTTATGAAATTAGTAACTTACTGAATCAGTAACTTGCCATATTGGCATCTTACTCAGTCGATAACTTACCAGATGTGTAGCAGACAAGCAACACACAAATTGAAATCTGATTGAAACAGTAACTTAACAACTCATCAAATAGATAACTAGGAGAGGTTTTAACTTCCCCAATTAGTAATTAACAAATCGGGTGAAACTGGCAATTTACCAAATTAGCTTTTACCCAATCAATAACCAAATGAAATTATTACATCGGAAACAGTAACTTTTCAGATTACAAAATTATCCAATCGGTAACTTATCAAATTAATAACTTACTCGATCAGTAACTTGCCATATTGGCTTCTTACTCAATCGATAACTTACCAGATGTGTAACTTAAATCAGCAGATAAGCAATACACCTAATTAAAATCTCAATGAAATGTAATATAACAACTCATCAAATAGACAACTGGGAGAGTTTTTGACTTTCCCAATTAGTAATTAACAAATCGGTGAAATTGGCAATTTACTAAATTAGCGTTTACCCAATCAATAACCAAATGGGTAACTTATTAAATCGGAAACAGTTGCTTCAATAACTTCTCAAATTAGTAACTTATTGGATCAGTAACTTGCCATATTGGCATCTTACTTAATCGATAACTTACCAGATGTGTAACTTGAATCAGCAGATAAGCAATACACCTAAATAAAATCGGAAACAGTTACTTTTTAGATTACAAAATTATTCGATCAATAACTTCTCAAATTAGTAACTTACTGGATCAGTAACTTGCCATATTGGCATCTTACTCAATCGATAACTTACCAGATGTGTAACTTGAATCAGCAGATAAGCAACACACCTAATTGAAATCTTAATGAAATGGTAATATAACAACTCATCAAATAGACAACTGAGAGCATTTCTAACTTACCTAATTGTTAATTATTAAAATGGCATCTTGCGTAATTGGCAACTTACCAAATCGGGTTTTACCCTATCAATAACCAAATAGGCAACTTACTGAATCGAAAACAAAGTAACTTTTCAGATCTGTAACACATCAAATTAGTAACTTACTGGATCAGTAATTTGCTATATTGGCATCTTACTTAATCAATAACGTATCAGATGTTTAACCTAAATCGACAGACAAGCAACACACCAAATTGAAATCTTATTGAAACGGTAACTCAACAACTCATCAAATATACAATTGGGAGAATTTATAACTTACCCAGTTGGTAATTATTAAAATGGCATCTTGCGTAATTGGCAACTTATCAAATCGGCTTTCACCCTATCAATAACCAAATAGACAACTTACTGAATCGGAAACCAAGTAACTTTTCAGATCTGTAACTCATCAAATTAGTAACTTACTGGATCAGTAACTTGCCATATTGGGATCTTACCCAATCGAAACTTATCAGATATGTAATACATATTACATATTATTATTATTATTATAATATAATAGTTCGTAAAATCAACAACTGAGCGATTAAGTGATGAGTATTAACAGGTAAAAAAATTAATATTCGGAAAATCATTCTGAATATAGTAGTTACAGGATTATTTGAANAGATAATTATAATACTATTATAATAATAATATTTGTAATAACTCTGTTGTGACAGCATAATAACTTGGGACAGAAACTATTGGCCATGACTTTTCTGAATAACTTCAAATTAATATCTGATAAAAAATTCAATATCTTTCAAACATCTTTCAAGTAACACCTCATCGTCAGATTTTCATTGAATAGTTTACAAAACCGCAACATGTGTTCATACTAACTGAATAATACCTAATCAGTGATTTATTCACATTGAAATTTTAATCATTTGCCTTTTACCACACAAGTACTCACAATTTTAACCCAGTGCAGGTGTAAAATAATTGAAAATGTAGATATTGGGAAAAAAATTATACTCATTTAAATGAACGTGTAACTGATGAAAATCACTGATTAAAAGTTTTCACATTGAAAGAAATATTCAATAAAGAAAAAGTTTTCAAGTCTATCTGGCCTTTTAGTAAATTTTCGTAATTTTCAATTTTATTGATTTGCAAGCACTCCGAAAGATTCATTTTCAAATCCTTCTCTTCGAAATTTAACACGTAACAATCGTCATTCAACTCATATTCATCTGCCAAAATATGTTTTGTAAATGTAGAATAGATTTTCACGTTCAAGAAACTATTCCCAGGGTATTTCATTCTTCGGATGAAGGTTCTTTCCGTTTTGCCAATATAAAATTGTGACCATGAACTAGAAGTCAACTTATATACTCCATTTCTATTCGACACTGAAGTTTGTAATGAATTTGCTTGGATTATCATTTTCTCTGTAAGTAACACCCAAGTATTTTGCACAAAAAACAAACAGATTAAACTGTTTAATCTTTCTCTTGAAGATGGTCACTTGGTGATCGAAACACGTGTCGAGGTGTTGAAATAACGGTTTGGTTTTGGGATAAACTCCAGTAATATTCATTACTACACCAAAGGTTCCATACAGTGCATCACAAGCATGTAATCCCAAAAAAATTCAATACCATATTCTTCAGATCATCATTTTCAACTGTCAGAAATGAAATTTTGTATAATATGAACCACCATTTCTTTATTTTCCACACGTTCAATAATAAATAAAAATAATACAAAGCAGCAAGTTCAGTAATATTCATAAGGAGGCCGAGTTTCAAACCTTCTGTAGACATCCCTCCTCGGAGGTCTAACGTCAAGCTCAATATAATCATCCTCATACCGCTGGTTCTGGTAAGGCCTCGCCTCATATCTGGGATCCTCATAAATCGTTATATGCTTTTTCGGATACCCTACATCGTGATCGTTGTGAGCATACCTGTCGTAGGTATTGTAATAGGGATCGTGGTAAGGTCTCCCCACAAATTTTTCTTCGTTATATCTTCCTCCCATACCGTAAGCATTGGCAGCGTTTCTGCGGTTCGCTGCCTCCCTGTCGTCATAGTATTTGTTTTTGTTGTACATTTGGTGATTGCCTCGGTCTTTTTCGTATTTACCTGCGTTGTCGTAATGGCCGTGTCTTTCCTGTTCGTCCATGTGATGCGCCGAGTCCAGATTTCCACCTTTGCGACTGTCTTGGCCAGCGTCCCCATAAGATCCTATGTTAAAAAACTGGTGATATCATAAGGTGTAGCAAAGGTGCTGATATGAACATTTTTTGAATTTGTGATTATAAATGTTTGGTCTAGATGTTTAGCGGAAGATATTCCATCAATATTGGAATTAGACAGCAACTTCGTTATTTCATCTCAAATTCAATCGCTAGTGTATATTCTTACATATATAATCACAATGGCAATTTTTCCAACGATTTATATATTTTTGAAGTTATGTAAAAATTCGAACCTACGAAAGGTTGAGATAATCAGAAAAGTTTTACTAGAATTGGAGTTGGCACATGAAAATTATTTTTTGAGCATCTTCCTTTCCATATAAAGATAAATAATCTCATAGTAAGTTATTTCAGATTGTACACCCTGTGGATTCTATATAGGTACATTAGATTCTCACTTTTACAGTGCATCACAGAATTCGAAGTATTTTTTAGTGTCATTTATTGATTTTCTCTTGACTTTTTTGAAAGACAAACCTATAGGTTTCCACGTTGCATGATTTGAAAATGATAAAATTCTAAAAGAGAATTTTCTATTCGTGTACAAAGGGCAAACTTCAAATCGACCCCGATATGTGTGACTGTTGTGCTGTTTATCAATAACTTCATTTCCAAATTTTCTTAAATGGATGTCAAAAGAGATCTGCAATCATTCAGATCTCCACAACTCCAATATTTACAACTGTATACAGTTCTCGATTACAATTTTTCATTTACATCGTAAGGGCTGAAAAATCTCAAAATAGTCATTAATAACTCTGATTTACATCAATTAAATTGTTTTTTGCTAAATAATATTAAGTTTTATCTTTAAAACTATCATAATTATTTGTTTGTTCTTTGTTACTTTCCCTTTGAAAATATTGTATGTTTTTTGGGATCGATAAACGGTAATATGATTGTTTTTCAATTGTCAGATGGATTGAGAGATATTATTTCTTTTACGATATAGTTTTTTATGAAAATGATGCACAGTTCTAGTTTCTAATACAAAGATAATAGCTTTTGGAATGTGTATAACAACATTTTGACTTTACCGACATCTATGTTCTGTATACTGAGGTAACTTGTCTTTTATGTCATAGGTTTTCTTCACTACGAACGCAGTTAAATCTACTATGACATAGGTGTCAGGAAAATCTTTGATCGATTAAGATTATACATTATCTCTATGAAGAAACCATTATTTATTAACCAAACCACATATTTTATGCACTATATTTTCCAGTACCTGATAAGATAACAGCTTTATTCAGGTATATTTGTTTGGAAATTTTGAATTTACCGCGATCTACGTTCTTTATACCAAAGTAACACCAACTTTTTTATGAAAAAGATTTCTTCATTTTTTAATTCAAGTAGTTATATCTACTGTAACACAGATGTCAGGAAAATCTGGTTGTCATCACAGTTCCTCTTAACATTGATAAATTATAAAATATATTGTTTGAACTTACTGAAACTGAAAGTAAGTAATCCTACTAAATCAATTTCAGATGTCACGTGTCCATTGGTAATAAGAACTATTTTATTTGCCAAATTTTGAGCAATATTTCAAAATAAAGGCTTCCTAGGTTTATTACAAGAAGTAATTTTTTGTGCATGAATGATAATACTTTTCCAAAATCTAAATAAAAATCTTGATTTCTCACCTTTTCTGGTTTTGTGACTGTATTCATCCCCTTCATCGCTGCCATCGTCAAAATAACTGGAATTACTTCCTTGCTCGTCCTTGTGGTAGGTATTATGGAAGCCAGTCTTATGATGTCCTTTTTTGTGAGCCTTTTTTTCTTCGAAATCAGAAACGTCGCCTCCGCCATTTTCGTGGAAAGAACCTTGATCGAAAGAGGTCTGATCCGAATGATCTTTCCTGTTACCGTTTTGTTCGCCGTATCTTCCTACGTTCGAAGAACTGATGAACTTCTTTTCGTCGTCCTTGTTGAATCCTTCGTCTCCTTCAAAATTGGCGATACCTTCAGAACACGTAATGGCATGTTTAATAGATTCACATTGAGTGAAGGCTGAATTAATTTTTTTTTTAAAACTGATAAGAAGAACTGCTCGAAACATTTTTTATTTAGGCATGCAAGTTACCGAGTGGTAAAGGTATTCGAAAGACCTTTAAAACAAGGTGCCACTCGACCTACTTTCCCTATCTAAATAAGGGTCGTCGGATGCACCCCTCCGAGGGGGTGCGTACTACAAAAAATCTGATTAGTCTGAAAGGTGTCCCCCTTTAATTTGGAATCAACGTGTCCGAGCTTTTTTAAAATCTTACTTTTTATATTCAAAAACGGCTCTGTTAAGTTTTCGTTGTTATACACTGTATATTCAGTCTTATGTGGCTTTATAATTATAGAGTTACAAAAAACTCATTATGAAAGTCAGTTCAATTCATTTGACAGCTGACAAATACCAGTACAACAATGTTCTGCATACCTAATTTTTGTGAGTGAAAAACAGTTTATGAAAGCAAGTAAAAAAGTTCATAAAAGTTTCTACAATTATGTACTTCTTCTGTACATTTCCTCCAAATTTTCTGAATGAACTACACATTTAGTATCATTAGATGTATCTTCGTTTTATTCAAGTGTCCCTATACCAAAAACTATTGATGATTTTAGGATTCTTCTGAGGATCAATGGTCTCAGAGCAGAAGTAATTGAAAACTACATGCATTTAACAAAAATATCATAGAACAGAATGGCTTCTAATTCAATAACTTCACAGCTGATCTGATGTCCATGAGCAGATTGAAATGAAAGCATGGACTTTGATTTCATAATGTATTTGCTATTTTTCATAGGAAGAAATCAAAGGTAAATGACTTTGCTTCCACTCCTAACAACAGAATTACAAATATCAAGTTCATATATGAATTTGAAAGCAACGAGGAGTTACCAATCTTGGATATCTTAGTGACTAGAATTAACCAGGGTTTGAAATTTGATATCTACAGGAATAATATCAGTACTTAGATATACTCCTGATAGCACACGCTGGAGTTTTTCCCAACACCAAACCCTCATTTCAACACCTCGGCACGTGTTTCGATCACCTAGTGATCATCTTCAGTTTGGTATTGGGAAAAAACTCCAGCAATATTCATAATTGATAAATTAGCTATATATTTTGATTTAATTCGTTCTCCCATTGAATTAAAATCGTATCAGACAATAGAAGTCTCAACTAGTATAATTCACAATGAAACATTGTCAACCGCTTTCAAACAATATACTCTGTTACTGAACTATCATATGGATCCTTATATACATAATCGATCTACAAAAATCCTTAATCGAAATAAAAACAGAAATACTTTTTTGTCAAATATGGCTTGAAAATCTGCAGAACATGGCCAAAAAAAACTGAAAAACAGGTTTGACTCTGTGATAACTAACTGCGAAGCTGTTTTGATCATTTTTTAGGTAGAAAGTTACGAATTATCTTTTTTTTTATCTCTAATTCATACACCAATAACTTACTAACTTTTTTTCAGAAAGTACTGTTGTGTTGTTGTAATACATTGACACATTTTTGTTCCCGTCCCAGAAGGACATTTCTTGAACTGAAATAGGCGCGGAAAACATGCATCAATTCTCCGCGTGTTAGTGGAAAAAATGTATAATATTGGAAACATTATTTTTCATTATTCATAGTATAGAATACTATTCCAAATGCAAGCATCAGCAGCACAATTTTCCAATTGTTTCTCCTTCGGTAAACTCTTAAATTCTTCAGAGCCAAATTCAATGTGGGATGTAAATAAAAAACAACCAACCTTTGTGATGGGAGACATCATACAGTTTGGCATCCTGTTCTTGCCCCTGATTCTTGACCACTCCTGTCCTGATAACGAGCGGGTTGGAGATGACACAAACAAAACACGTGAATGGAACCGCGGTCCACCAGAAGCTGCGGTAACACATCTCACAAAGACCATCTAAATACAGGAGTTGAGAGAGAACTGAAACCAATTTGAGATATTTGTTTCGTTTTATACCGTCACTAGGTTCATTGTGATTTCTAACCTTCGTTGACTTGGAATTTCATGGTATAACGTGGAAGAGGATGTACCGCTGGTTAAAGAAACGGAGAAGGTTAATTGTATTTTTGTTAAATTTGTCTCGCAAAGTTGGTACAAAAAAGGATTTCGGGTCTTTGCTCGAATATAGCAGACACTATTATCAATTTGATCAATTGAGGAAAAAAAATGAGAATATTGAAATCGGTAAATGGTAACTGTAAATATGTTTGGAAGAACTGTTGTCTATCTGAAAAAATTGATGTGTTGATTATGTGCTTCAGTAGTTTGATATAACAAGATAGATGGGTATTTTATATATCTCCGGATGTTAATCCGTAAATCCATCTAACCTGAAAGATTACTCACTATATAAACTGATCGGCTTCGTCAAAAAGCTGGATTTATTTGGTTGAGTTTGTGAGCCACAATAAACCCTTGCGGGTTACGGTGGAGGTCGAATAGACCCACTCACTTGTGACCTAACCTAACCGAACCCATACTGTAGTGAGCAGTAACTATTTTTTGAGGAAGATGAGTCTCAACTTTAACAGTAACGGAAATCGATGTGAGAAATTTCATCATTGTTCAAAAACACAAAAAAAATCAGCGGAACTGATGAAATACCAGTGAAACTCAAAAAAATACTAATAACACTTCGAGTCAACCTCTAACAACATTATTTATTAAGTCTCTATCCACATGAACGTTACGGTAACGTTCCTGTGGATAGAGATCCGGGATTTATTTGAAACTTCGATTGTTTCACAAAAAAGATTGCAGATTATAACTCAACAATTATAGAGCAAACTCACCATCACCCAGCTTCTCAAAACCCCTGGAATGAAACCTAAATGAACAACTGTTGACTTATCTTATGAAACGGAACATTTTTCACAGACTTACAGTTTGGGTTTCGCCAAAATCTAAACAACGGATGCCATATTTGCNCAAAACAACCTTCAGTCACCTGTATGAAGGAAATAAAATTTTACCATATCACCATATAATTTGTAATAAAACCTGTTGGTTACTTCATGTATATCCTTGATCAGAACGTGGTTCGCTAGACATTCATTTATTTGAGCAGTGAGCTAGGCATGCAGGCAACATTTGTCTTGAACTATTTCAAATACCGTTATTAAAAAGGTCATTATATCGTTTCTGTGGCCATTTAGTTGGAATAATAAATTAGGCAAAAATTCTGATACAATTTGACTCACTTAACAAACGATAACACGAAATAAAGTAAAAGTGTTTCCATTCAAAATATAGAGAAGAAACCATTTGTTTTCTCTCATTGTAAAAGTATGCCCTGAAACTTTAATAAACATTTTGTCCCAATTTTGTCCCAAGGTAGACCTTTTAGTACTCGACATTTCAAAATAAAATTATTGAAATAGGTTTACAACTTCAAATTCTAGGGGGGTGTTTCCATTAAAAATGGGTCACACTGTAGATCAAAGAAGGATGCAAGTTAAAATGGAGGCTATTAAAAATAATCGTACAACGAATTATTAGTCAGACACGGCAGATGTGAAGGAAGGGGTCTTGCTGGGTTCTATTCTTGGTTCTACTTTATTTCTCATCTACGTCAACGATATTGTGTGCAACTTTCCCAATGTACCTTTTTGTCTCTTTGCCAATTATATCAGTTCAATTGTCTTTGACTAGGAAGTTCAGTTACTAATTCATTAATCACAAAGAATGATGACTTGGTACAATAATTAAGCTGGTTCAGTGCAAATCAACTTCTTCTGAATGCATCACTGCCCATAAAATAAACCAAAGTGATTGTTAATGCCGAATCAACGAATACCTCAAACACTTCAAAATTTTTGTGATGCACCATTAACTATGGTTTCATCTGGTCATATCATATTTCTCATTTGAACAAAAAATTGAGCGGAGCTATCTTCGTCATTACAAGGAAGTGGCAAAGATCGTGTAAAATGCCTATTTCCACAGTCTTATACAATTTGATATTCAGTTTTGAGGTTCATCTGTTTTCGAATTCCTCCTTCATCATACATGAACGAGCAATTAGGAAAATGTTTGATCTTCCATGTAGAGAATCATGCCGGAATTACTTCGCAAATCATAAAATATTCACTTCGTGCAACTTATATAAAAGTTTTGTTTCTTATTTATAAAAATTGAGATTTTATGTCAAGTCAATCAGGCAATAATTTTTTCGAATTACAGATACAATAAATAAATATTACTGGAGTTTTTTCCCAACACCAAATCGTTATTTTTAACACCTCGAC